GTAAGAAAAGACTCGGTTCACACCCACAAAATTATTAAAATTTTATTTGTGCAATCTACACATTTTTTCAAAACGAATCAAATGATTTTGAGAAATAGCAATATGACAAAAAATTCAATATTCAAGAGAGGGATGGCCACATAAATGTTCTTTATGAAGCCGAATTTCTAAATTAACACACTTCTGAATTTGAGCAAAATCCGTCAAGCAGTTCAAAAAATCACCAACGAATGTACAGGGCTATTCCGTATATTTAGACAGCGCGTAGTGCGTTTATTATAGGGTAAAACGTTAGTCAAAGATGCAAATTTGATAAATTTTTAATGGAACACCCTGTATATTTTTCAAAAATTGAATAAATCTTTTCTTTCTGATTTCAAAAACATATATGTTGACATTTTTTTGTAATGCAATTTCTATTTTTTTTTCTTCTGTAGGTATAACCCATATTATAGATGGAATGGATTAAAATAATTATGAACGCAGAATAAATAACTAATTATTTATTATTAATCAGGATCAAATCATGTGTGTGGAAACTACGATTTGGTTGGATGATATATTCATGCAAATGTTTCAAGAAAACTAAAAAAATCCGAATACTTCCCAAGAAATACCAAAAAAACTGAAATTTGCCAATTTGGTTTTTATTTTTCTCAGATGCTATTTGAACGGATACAAACAAATAGAAAACACTTTCTCATTGCCACTTTTTGAGCTCTACAAAACACTGTTGAGAGATTTTCCATACAATGTTTCTTTTTTGAGAAATCATCAACTTTATTTTTTTATATGACCTTTAAAAAAAGTACATACTGTATTGTATTTATTACGAATCCAACGATATATGTCACACATAAAAAAAAAGTTGGAAACTGTTGGTTTCAACAGGATGGTGCACCCACATGCTGCTTCGGGTATAAAAATAAGTCTCGCTTTATTCAACCTGTACATAATTATAGCACCCGACATAAAACTAATCTAAACCCTGGTAAACATAGGACAGCATTATTCAAGAATAATTTAATTTATCAATGCTGCAAAATCTTTAATGTACTACCAGACGCAATTAAAAATATCCCTACCTTTAGTTAGACAATTTAGGTTAAAACTCAAACAATTTTTACTTCTATATACATTTTATTGCTTAAGTGACTACATCTCGTTATCGAAATAAAAAGAAAACGCTTTTCGTAGTTATGTTAGCATGTTAGTATATCTTGAGGTATATCTGTAGATAATTATATTTTTATGTATATTGTTTCATTATATTTATATTTACATTATTTTATATTGGTAATTTGTCAATCTTGTTAGTTGTTATTCTTTTCTATGTAATTTCTGCTGTTACAATTTATGACAAATATTGCATACATTTCTCTATGGAATGTATTGGCAATATAAAAAAAATATACTATACTATACTATACCACACACAACGCTCTAATTGTGCCGGAATACCTATCGGATAACATTTTCATTTTTCAGGAAATTTGTCTGATAGGTATTCTTGCACGATTAGAGCGTTGTGTGCAGGTGCACCATCCTGTTGAAACTAATAGTTCCCAACTTTTGTTTGGTGTGCGTAACACATATATCGTTGGATTTGTGATAAAAAATGCTACTCAGTACAGTATGTCCTTTTTTTACGGGCAATATAAAAAAATAAAGTTGATGATGATTTCTCCAAAATGAAACTTTGTATTGAAAATCTCTCAACGGTGTGCAAAGCTCAAAAAGAGGCAATGAGAAATGTTCTCTATTTTTTGTTATCTGTTCAAATAACATCAGAGAAAAATAAAAACCAAATCGGAAAATTTCGGATTTTCTGAATATCTTAGGAAGTAATTGGATTTTATTTTATTTTGCCTTTATTTTTGAGTGGGCGGAGTTTCAGCCAAGGCTGCTCTACCAACCCAACCCACTATACATTTACAAATATCCATGCCCGAACCCGGATTCGAACCAGGGACCCTTAGCACCACAGTTCAGCTTTAACTGAACTGCGCCACACGAGCCAACCGATTTTTCTGGTTTTCTTTAAAGGCATGATAATAACGGTTTAATTGTGCAACTTTTTCTTAATTTGACCATCGTTGTATCATCTATCATAAGATCATCATAAGATATTCAGGAATAGATATGATATTGGTGAACATTTCTGATTCAGTAAGAAAACTTTTAAAAAATCTCTAGATCAAGCCTCAGCTCTGGTTGGAAGTATGTTTTGAATGTGAAAATAATTACATGGTAACTTTAAGATAATTCATACATAATTGGATACTTTACTTCATTCATGTTTCTTGATAGTAACTTAATTATAAAGTAATAAAACCCAAACACAAACAAATACCAACGTAATTGACGCGCCTTTTGTATGGAACGTGATTTTTAATTAGCTGTGAAGTGGGAGGAGTCGCTCTGTTTATACCATATAATTAATACGTTTGATGCGTCTTGAAAATGCCATGAAGAAACTGAGAGAGCACAATGTGGAAGGTGGGAGGCATGTTGGTGCCTATGCTGCAGGGTTTACATCAACTTTTTTTATTAGCAGACAGATTTTTCTGACGTTTTAACGGAAGCTGCTGTTTATAGGTAAAAGCAACAGGGTTCGCCTGAATGAACCCAACCAGAAAAAACCACTGAGGTTTTCATTTTGAAATAATTAACAAGTTTTTTTACATGGGCTGGTTCGAAATAAATTTATATGGCAAAAGTAGGTATATTTCAAATCTAATCATACACGAATCACTTTCCATTTTTAAAATACAAAAATAAAACAAAGATACTTCCATATGAGGTCGTTTAGTATTAGTTAACAATTCAAAACAGTTCAAAACTTTTATTCTTATTCTTACCCATAGTAAAATGTGAACCACCACAACATAACCACAATATTGTGGCGCCTTTTTTCATATTGTCTAATTGCGATCGAAAAGTACTATTACTCACTTTTACACGAAAAAGCCAGAAAAAACCCACCCTGAAAAGCAATTGGGCATATATATCAAAAATAGACTACGCATGCGCCTTCTCAACTTTAGTATTGTGGGCGGATTTTTCAGAAACGAATTTGGCTGTGGTAACTAATTTTTCAGCAAAAAAAGGCTGTTAATGTGAAAATTCGCGCTTTGTAAATCGTTTACGATTATCAACATAACTTGCTGGGAACCAATTTTGAATTTCTGAAGTCCTCATGCAAACGCCCAATCATTGAAGTAAGCATTGCTTGTTCTAAAAACATTTATGTCAACTGCATAAAGTAACAGATGCGAAACCAGTGGTCATATCATACTACTACCGATAATAAATATAAAAAATAGCAGTGGCCTCAGATTCAAACTCTGTGGCACTCTATGGATTTGGCAACCTACTAACCCAATGACATTGTTCACCACAGTTTAATTCATGGTTACGCAGTGCAGATATGATGTAATTACCTGAACTAGCTCACCCTGAATACAATATGTCAACACCAAAGTGGTAAATAATTAGACTTCTTATTCAAAAAAGCCATAAGCAAAATTGGTATAAATTTTGAAAACCCCTTACCAAATCTCACGGTTTCCCAAGAATAAACATGTTGCAAGGTTTATTCAACAATTATTACTATTACTCGCAATTGCAAGTAAATATGTAACACTAGGTAAGTGTACCGACTGGGCGCTCTCTGTTTACAACATAAAGACCTTGAAAATGGGACCACGGTAGGTCTATTTTTTTATATAAGTTAACTCTGCTCTACCCACTTAGACCGTGGACCAAGTTTGGTGTTGATTGGTGCAGAGGTGTAGAGACGCCTATATCCAACATCAGACAGACAGAAAACAGTTGCTTTTATATACAGGATGCGGTTTTTTCACTTTTACTATGGGGATCACGAGACCTTTTTACGATAAAAAGGTTAACAATGCATCTTGTGGAAATAATTCCATGGCAAATTGTGATTGAAACCAAATTCATTTGTTCATCATCTCACATCGAGTCTCACATAGTCACCATCAACACGGCCAATTGCCATAAAAAATTCATTGTATCCAAAATGGCGTCCATAAGTAACCAGACAGTTAATATGATTCAATGGTAACCCACTAGTCCAAAATTTTATTTTAGTACCATCAGAGCCAGAAAAAACTCGTGGTTGATCCATGCTCTAAATGGGGTGATAAACCATACAGGAAATAAATGACTCAATTCCTCAAAACCCCCACATATTTAATTAAATATCCATGGGGAAGGTTTTGAGGAATTGAGTCGTTTATTTCCTGTATACCATCAGAGCACTGGGGAAAAATTCGCTAACGGAGATTTTTTGCTTTGGTTTTATAGCTGTTATATTTATTATTTTATTATGTTTCTCATGATGTTTGTTCTCTTCTGGCGAGTGTAAATGTCTAGTTGCATAATTAACACAAATAAAAAATTATTACCTATAAGCCTTATTATTATCAGTACTCAATTTCTAAAATAAAAGGTTCCGGTACAGTACAGTATTCCGGAGAATTCACACACATTCACCAAAAATGTATTTGTCTTTGTTTGGTAAGTTAATAACTGTATAACATGGCCCTGGCCAATGGCAATTCAGAGCAGCAAAGTGTAAATAACATTTTACTGTCCTCCATAGATAATTGAAAATATAAAACAATATAAATAAATGAAAAGGTAAATAAATCCAACCTTTGATTCAAAATGAAGTGTTAAATTAAATGCAATTAGTAATTGTCTAATTAATACTACTCTTTCGCCAACTTTTCTAAGTAACCCCTCATTGCAAATTTCACTCTACAAATAGCAATAAATCACTATTAATAAATAGATCAGAAATAAAGTGGACTATTACTTGGTCATCACTATTAATTGTGGCCCAGCATTTTCGATTTGTAAAACTCATGCTATAGTTGTGCAATTGTTATACTCTATTACTCATCTTGACAACTTCATGTTTACCAATAGAATTAGAAGTTCAGAACTGCATAGGTATTCTATCGACTTACCTGTAAAATCCCATGCCAGGTTGTGGGCAAGATGAAGCAATTTGTGGGTTATTAAAATGGTTATTAAAATAATGCATTAAAGGCGTAGAAATTTTTTGAGTTAAAATAGGTGTCGAATTAACATATCCATAACTGCCCTCTTCCGGTAAAAGAAGATCATCGAAATTTAAATCTTCCAAAAAGTTTTCATCATTTGCGTTCAGCTCCGCTAACGTTGGTCCTTGAATAAGGTCTGCTTTATCGACTTGAAATATGTCATCGTCGTCCATGTGAATAAGACCCTCCGATTTCGGATAATCGTTATCCAAATCTGTTATTCGAGTGGTCCACATTGTATTACTGCCGTACGTAAAATGGCTCTCAATCGGAACTTGTCCACCTAAGTTATAATCAATCAATAGAGATAAAGGATAATCTAGTTGGCCTATCTTACGTAAGGTAAAAATGTCACTACGTCTGGTCGGAATGGGAACACTGGCGGTTGTATTTATCGGTATATCCGGCGAGTCAGGCTCTTCTTTAACGACAATGCCCGGATCCAAAAAGAAATCACCTGTATAGTCCGTCATACTGAATTATATCTGAAAAATGGCAGAGTTACAACTTCAAATCGAATGTACATAACTTTGAATTACTGTTCAACTTTAATAATAGGAGATAGATAATAAAAGACACCATGGGGTGGTATCAAATATTGTGCAACAGGAATGAGTAAACAAATAATAGTAAGCCATGAGTAAACAACTAACCATTCAACTATTCTAAAATGATCGTGCACGTGTTGTTACTGATAATCGTAGAACTTTAGCCTTCAAAAAATCAAACACATAATATTATCAAATTTCTGATAACAATGTAATTCTCGCGCGCTTTAATCACACACTTCCACCATGCTGGACAGCCTGATCTGACAATGACTCAACAACTACACCTCCGTAGATTTTCACAGGCTACGCGATTAATCCGCCGTGTCATCCAATAACAAATTTGTTTCTAATATAATCATCGATTGTACCGACCGAATTTTCACAATAAATATCTAAACAATTGATATATTGCTTATCAAACGAGCGAAATATGCGAAAACAACACGACAGGTTTACTACTATTATAAAGGTCACATGCATACATTGAATCAATTTCAAACACCAATCCAAATTCAGAATTGAAAATCTCCTCCAATCACGCTACTAATTTTGATCAAAACACAAACACAACAGTAGGTACAACTGCTTCATGAAAATTGCAACGTCAATACGACAGCACTATTATTGTTTATCAAACGTTGATAACATTTAAAGAGTAAATCAATAATGAACCCACGTAGAAATTTGTTTCATTACGAGTATTATGTAAATTGGTACACAACAATTACCTGTCTTTTACTTCACTAAGATTTCATAAATTCATACTCTAAAAGAAAAACATCGCGTGCCTATACAAATTACAAACAAAATATTTATAAGATTAAGTTCTCATTCTTGTAATGGTATCGCCATCTATGTTACATATATTGGAACGACAGCAGTTTTCTTTTTTTTAACTGGTGAGAGTTCAGGTGTTTACCAGTGGCGTATCACGCAGGAAAAAATGATTTATATCGTTGTCATTGTTTATATACAATGGTTGAGTGAAGGAATTAGGTAGAGGACGCAACCTCCATAAGACAAATCGTAGTCACTTTAATCTCTTACTAAGCATTTCCCTTCTCTATCCAACACACTGGAACGCCGACTAGCAATTTGCTGTCGGGATCTGAGATTCCATTAAGCGCTGTGTAAATTTCAAATATGTTCCCGACGAATTCTAGTAAATAGGCGTTGCGCCTCTACCTGGATTTCTTTACTCACAGAGTCTCTGTTTACTCAACGTTTATGTTCTTGTGGATTTATGCAGACACACAATCAAAGAATAAAAAACATTGCGTTCTGTTTAATGTCAACATCAAACACGTAATAGAAATAGGGAATGTACGACGTTTAAGCATAGACATAATGCGTTTAAGGTGGTGATACAACATGTGATAAACAAGTACAGTAGTACACATGCTTTTTTTTTAATTTTTTTTATTTAAAAGGCGCTGACGTGTCAAGTGCGCAAAGCACTCAACCGCGGTAATTAAGACAAGAGGAACAAAAACAATTAGGTTTTGGAACTAAAGCTGATTCTGTGTTTGTCTCATGAACCATATAGAATATCGAAGTTACTTTTATCAGTGGTAGCCATCAGAAGGTTAACGATGTTGGTGGGCAGTTGTTGACCGAGTTTTATTAATTTTGTTAACATCTGTCTATGTTCATTTCATTAAGTTGCCATAAAGAAAATGGTTAAGATCCGCCCCTCGCATCGGCAAGCAGGTGACTCGATGCATATTTTATATATACGGGAAGGGTAAAGACCATGACCGAATTTGAGTCTGGTGATGGTAGAGAAATACTGGGTCCAGTGCCTTTTTAGGAGAATTTTTTTCTTTAAAAATTCCTCTCATGTAATTGTTTTGTCCGTTCGTCTGTCCGTCTGTTCCTCCTCCAACTCGAGAACTGCGGGCTGAAGTACGTCACAATTGGCAGCGCGTTTTATTGGTTGTTTGGAAGTGAAGCAACCGTTTAGTGTGATAAAGACCACATCTGCAATTATTACACTCAATTGGCGGACTGGTATGGGGTGTCAAGTCAAGAAATGCTTATCGTCTAGCTTTATTTTTGCTTATGTTTCTAAGACATTTCGAACGCTGTTTCGATAACGAGATAACGCTAGCTAGACTAGCAACAAAGATCTTTGCTAGCAAGTACCAATTGATCTGCATGCAATTCGAGGCATAAGTAACTGGGCTCTAAATATTCCAATGGTTTTCTATATGATCTGAAAGGTTCCACCCTGTATATACAGCTTACGACGATACATACATTTTTGAGAGTTGGCAACCATGCAATTTCTAGGTGGGAAAAAAAGTTGCCTGCGCCACCTAGAAAGCACGAACGGGAGTTACGTTTGGCATCTGGTCTTGAATGGAGGTAGTGAACGTTTCGCTCCATAAATGTTTGTTGTTATTTTGTGTTATTTAATGCAGGTAGTAATTTTTGCATTTCTTTATATCGTATTTGTGTTTTGTATGCCGCATTTTATATTTGTTGTGTGTTTGAATCTCTGTTTTTGAAATTTGCTTTGTTTAACCGCAATGCAATCATATGTGTGATACCGTTATGCTATTGTTTTTAATTGTTTACATTTTTGGTGTAATGTTTGCTTAATTTATGTTTATTGATGTTGATTACTTGGTCTTGTCCTTGAAGTTACATTCATATAAGTTTTCATTTTATTTTAATACTTATGTGGAAATTGCTGATTCGTTTGATGTATGTACTGACTTGTTGTATGTTACTAACAATTTTCTCCGTGAATGAAGCAGTCTCGGGAAGGTGGAAAAAGAAACTGTAGTCTATATTTATGTGTTAGGGCACCTAATTCCGTGCACTGTCTTCGACATCCAACTGTAGGTTCGAAACCCCGAAACCAGGGGCGGACTACCCATCTTGCAGGAGCGAGATTACGCTAATCAAAGCTCTTCAGTTTAGAATCTATGTGTGATAAATGAGTGGCGATTCAATAATTTCCACATATTTTGTTTTTAGTCAAATTTGCCTACAAGGCCATGTAGTTTTCCATCTTGCTTTCAACAAAAGGACTTTATTGCACCAAAGATGAGTCACATCCTGTACTTTTAACCCTTTCTCAGAATCTTGGTACCTGCTTCTACCTGACCCATTGTCCCCAAAAACTTGCTTTTAACCTTGAGTGTAACCATCCTTGTGTATATGCATTTACTATCTTTGTTAACTACTGCTTAAACTTTTACAAAATATTTTGTTAATTAACTTTTGGACTGTTTTAATCAAACTGCAAGGTTTTTCTTACGTCGTACTCTTTTTATCCTTGGCAGTGACTTTTGCGAGAGTACGACACCTTTTGGCTTTGTTTGTTTTGTTTATATTAATGTACATCAACTAAATTTCCGGGTTTTCACAATCATGATAATTACGATCATTATTAAACAAACTTCTCACAATTTCAGTGTTTTATTTAAAATTCCTTCCCTACTGTGCTTCAGGTCAAAGCGTTGTCTACAACTAACGTAAGGAGGCCCTGCCTTAGATGTTTTATCACGTGCCACTTTTCAAATTTAAGCGGGTACTTGTTTAGTTTTAGAGGGAATAGTCATTCGGGTGGCCATTTTTTAAAACGTTGCTGGGTTTATTTTATTTCCGTGTTCTTGTAGTGTGAAGTTAGCGTAGAACCTGGGGGTTAAGTGCACTACAGATCTAAGGGAAAATAAAAGAGGGGGATCGTTTCACTAGGTAAGTAAAATATCTACAACATATATACCTAAGCGTTATTCAAGCATTGATTTTATAAAGTTGCTAGACTGAATCTTATTATACCTATTTATCTAGCATGCCAATAAGTAGATCAATTTCGAGATTAGTTTTTAGGTTGTGGTGGCATACCCTTGCGTTTAGGCAACGCGTCTTATAACAAGAAGAAGTAAGTACAGAAACAATAGGCAAGATCCTGTACACAGCAATCGTGAAATGTCTTTAACTTGTCCACGTTTTGCGCTGTAGCAGGAACAGAAACGTTTTTGGGAATGAAGATTCACAGAAATAGTCGGCAAGTTACTGGCTTTTTCTTGTTTATATTTTATGTCAAATTTTGCTATTATTTACATTTTTCAAAATCTATTTAATAAAGCATGGCGTGCCCCAAGCGATCATTTTTGTGTGTAGTCGTTGAACAGTCATTATTGAGTATTTTTATATGTACTCGTGAGAAAGGAAAGGAGATTATCTCGTGTGTATACCCCTGTATGATTCTATTAACCGTTTATACCGTGGAGAAAGCACCTATATAGTTCTATTTTTTTCGCTGTATCTGGACCTTCTCGGACTGCAGTTCTTGCGCCTTAGCAATACCCCTCTATCTGACTTTTCCGCTGATTAGTATATTAGGTCTGTTTATGTGAATATTTCCCTCATATGTAATAAATCCTGTATTATCGCTCAATTACTGCGGTAATTGCATTGTAGAAAGCGAATGAGCCCTGCGATCATTGCACAGTCCATATCCATGGCAACTGGCAACTGCTTTGGACACTTTCGTAATACACCGACAAATTATAAGTAGGTAACGTCAGTTTCACAAGTAGTTTGTTCGGGAAATATTCCTCCAAATTAAACTCGTGCATCAAAATAAACCTGATAATTTTTTATTCAAGCATGTTGTCAGTAAAAAACTGCATTCGGTCATTTTTATATTTCGCAAAATATGAAAATAAACTCATGCAGTTTTTAGACAACATGCTTTCAAAAAAATTATCTTACCTACGATAATCTACTTCAATTTAAATACTGCTTGGATTCTCACCTGCGGTTTTTCGTGTTAAGTGATTCATAAAAATGATGCTGAAACAGAACCATGCCCATTTTGATGTTCTTTAGGTGCACGCAATTTATCATTTTACGAGTTCTTTTGTCTAAATTGAACAGTAGATGTTTTGGATGTGTTTTTGTACTAAGTTGGCTCTTTTTTTCATTTGTATTTATTATTTCACTCTTATTTCGTTTTTACTAATTTGTTTAATTGCATTTGACTCAATGATCCAAGTTGTTTGATTTTTGTATTTATCTTTTTGCATATTGGTGACGTAGTTTTATTTATCTGTGTCTGCTGTGCCAGGTTTCTTTCATGATGGTTCATTTTTTCTGATCGTCTTTTGATTTACTCCGCGAAACCAAGCCTTGTGAGTATAATTATTTTCCTTATTTCTTCAGACGCACCAAATTCTTAGTTTTATTTAATTCCCTTACCGATTCTGTCTCACGTCCCAACACAGAAAGAACATACCATAGTATAACGCAACGTAGGAGTTGTATTTGTGTCATCAAGTTCCAGCCCCACTGCAACCAAACTGTCTGTGATTTGAGTGGTAACAACTGTACAGTCAAAAATTGCAATGCCCCTACGAACACTACTACTATAAACTTTAAGTTCGTCGTCGTAAATGGCGCTATTAATTCATAAAAACGCAAGAAACTACGAACATACACTGCCCAAGACAAAGATTGTCAGGTAAAAAAGAAGATATTTTAACAATATTAAAAAAATAGTGCTGTTTACATTTTTGAAAGTAGAAAAAACGCTCTATCAAATGACAAAAAAGGTAAAAATGATTTCCATGAGAATTGAGAATGGTTAACCGCAGACGAAACGTCAGGCATAAAATTTAAAACTAGCATGTTGTAGAGGAAAAAAGTGGCCATAATATGTGTGATTTATTTTGAAATATATTTTTAAATAACTACGGTAAAAAATAAAAACGACTTTGCAAAATTTCGTTTTTTTAGGATGTATCTGAAAGTACGTAGGTAGCCGGAATTTTTTCAGTTTCAAAACGGCATTTTGCTATGTATCAAAATATGCAAATTGAAACTACCTACCTATCCGTTACAGTTTCCGAGATCCCCATGGTGGCCCTCAATTTGAATCAGCCTGTATAAGTCGAATACAAGCATTTTTAACAATTTGTAGTTGCTTTGTAAGCCATATACACCACTACAATGAGAGAAGTGTGACACAAGAGTAATTCTGATTTTACTCGGTTTTTCTATTCCTATCTAATCTCGTCTTTCTCGAAATAAAGAGTATTTGTCGATTTTTTATCCACTGAATTGACGCAGTGAATAATTGACGTTACTGAGGCTATTAAAAACAACAGTCTATCTGATCAGTACACGCGAGAACTGTAACACATTTACTTTCACCCTATATATAATATTGTGTCAGTGGTAAGTTAATTGTTGTGATCTGTGGTTAGTGCATTTTGCAGGGGATTCAAGAAAACCCACGCGCGTAATGTTGTGTTGGTATTAAAAATAAATAAACAAAATCCAAAGCAAAGCAAAATGCAAATGTTGTGTTTCTAAAAAAATAATATGATAGATTGGCTTACAATATTGAAAAATGCTAAGAAAACCTGCATACAACAAGGTAACCTTCGAAAGGTACATTTCTTATTACCAGACGGCAGGGAAATGGTCGAAGAGTATAATATGGAAACCGGAGTGGTTACTCGAAGAGCTTGGAAAGTAAAGACCAATGTTGGTGGTGAAGGCGAATGGCATATTGAAGTGGGCGATCCCGAGCCCACTTTCAAGACCGAAGATATTTTAATTAAGGAAAATTCAAGTCAGGTTGTAACTCTTAATTGTTTGATCAATGTTTAAAATTGATTTTTTAGCCCTTTGTTAGTCGACGGATTACAAGAAAGAATTTAGAATGGAGGATTCGTAATTTACCTTATTCGATAGATGTTTACAGCGTTACTGTGGATCCAGAGAGTCGACATTTAATTGTTCGAACTAGTAATAGAAAGTATTTCAAAATTTTGAACATTCCAGAATTAGAACGTTTAAATTTATTAGCAGAACAGAATAGGATACAAATGTTTCACAAATTCAATACGTTAGTAATTAATGTAAGTGAAAATACTAGGATGTAAACTTCGATTAATTGTATCGTTTTAGTATGAAAAGCCAAAGCAGTTGATTGACTTTGAGAAAGCTCTGTTTGATGAAGTTAAAACCATAAAAGCATGTAAAGAAGGCGATATGGATTGTAAACCAAGTTAATGTGATGTGAACTTATGAGGTTATGTTACTTTAAGTTGACATCCTTCTGTGACATGTTGTAATGGTGCAATATTGTGTAAAAGTGATCAATGTATCTCTTATTTATGTAATAAACGAAAGTTGAGATTTGTTGCAGTAGGTTTTAAATTTCGTTAATAAATTATAGTGAAAACAGCTGCAATGAAGAAGAAAATACCAGATAGGTATGATTTTGTTGGTTATGGTGCTTTTTTAAATCGATTGTTTCTGCTAGCAACATCTGCTTCAAAATTATTTTTATTTCTTTTTTAATCACGTTAATTTAATATCACAACATAATTTAATGTAAAGATTCCACTCGTGTAAACAATGTTCGTGTGTAGTGTAACTATTGCACCACAGATGGGAATACTATACTCAAAACTCGTTTTCTGCTAAGTATTATACAGGGTGGCCCAAATTAAATGGGCTTGTTTAAATAAATACTATTCTAAACGACGGTATGTTGTAAGTCGTTCGATTATAGTCCACTCAACGAAGGACAAATAGGGGAAATAATCCGTGTAAAAATGAGTTTTGGTATAGTTGTAGCCGTTGTTCGCTGGGATCAAAATTTAAATGAGGGAAGAAGAGGCGGCTCCGTTAGTATATGAGCTTCTCGGCAGTCGCATCGCACCCCACGCACCGGCGCGGACGTGCATTGGCTGTAGGTACTGAGGAGTCGCATGTACATGAAATGAGTCAGGTCAAGTCAAGCACGTAAGTATACAGTTGGTATGGGATGGGTGACGTTCAACGAGCCCCCCTCCCCCCCTCCTAGCTTAAGGTAAATTTGTGAGAACTTAATAAAGCTTTCGATCAAATGTGGGGGATCCGCTACTTTAAAACCTACTTTTGCGAGATGAAATCGTATTTGTGACTGGAGTACCTAATCGCAAAATTTCCTAGCAATTGCTTAATATCAGGGACGAACAGCTCATTGCATCTGTCGTATTCTCAAGAAGATGCGTTGAATTAAATCCTCCAAATTAGTCGGATTGAGTTGAAGTATTGTATCCGATCGAATTTCAACCTTGCATATTTCAACGGGATCTGAAAAAACCGAATAAAACCTGTCCAGTATACGTTCATGCGGCGTAAACGTAGTTATTTTTCGGCGCGAAAAATGTTTATTATTTAAGTATTTAACTCGGAGAACTCCGCTTGCGTGACTCACTCGTTCATTGACTTAATAATTATTAATACACAACTATAACATTCATAATGCTTAGAATTGATTATAATTAACTTTACCTCTTTAAATATCTTGTTAAATATTGCCCCCAGCGAATATACAGTGAATTTTTTTTTAATGCGAACATAGGAGTTTGCATGCAATGTAATTTCCCTATGTTCGATTTTTAAAAAAACACATCAATCTATTGAGTAGTTCAAATGAGTAGTAGATACAATTGACAGCTGTCACATTTTTAAAAATACCGCCGTCCAATTTAATTACGAAATCGGCTAGGTGGTTATTGCTTAGATTGTCAAGGAGGACACTTCGAACATTTATTGTAATTGTTTTCGGTATTTATTTTCTTATTTTCTTCATTTATGTATTGAATAGATCAAATTAGTAGAATACCAGGTGCACATGACCTACAAATAATTGGAGGTTTGTTCACAATCAGTTGTCGTGTCAGTGCGTGGCCTGTGAGGTCAAGTTATCGTAAGTTTAAGAAGAATGTATCTTAAAGTTGCTATGGCTTCATATGGCTTCTTTAAAAAAATCTTACCGAGTGCTCTTCATCATAAAGACTAGTTGCTGTTCATAGTCACACAAGTTGCGCGATTTGGGAATGTGAACCGCGCACACCTCATAGATTGTTTTTTTTTAAAAATCGAACATAGGGAAATTACATTGCATGCAAACTCCTATGTTCGCATTAAAAAAAAACTCACTGTATGTATAGAATGTTTTATGTGGACAATTTTAGGTACTTAGATTACTTAAGTATGAGCATTTTTATGGGCCGCCGTTTACGAGTTATTTACGAAAAATTAAAAAAAAAAACCTTTACACCCCTATTAACCTCCGAGTCTGAATCGATATAGCAATCCTAAATGTTTACAATGAAGTGACATGATAGATAAGGACAGTGAACAATCGAAGTACGTACATTTAAAGGAAACAACATTGTTGAAAGTTACTGAATGATATCATGGAGCAGAAAGAGAAAAAACATATACGAATAAGCAATACGTTTTGTAACTTCGACATCGATGTTAAGAGTAAGACTAAACACAATTCAATTTGCTTATATCCATTTCTATTTCTTTTGGCCGTATTCTAACACTGTACCTACAGGATGGCGCCTTCATATCGTTTTAGGAAATTTGCTACACTGCCTCCTTCTTAAAACTGTTGCGTCTCGCAACATAAGCAAGGTTGTATCGGAGATATAGTCCGGGGGACTCTAGTTGTACTTACATGGTGACTTACCTACATCTTCTATTTTAGAAAAAAAGCAATCGGAAGCAATTAACGGTTTTACGAAACGGTTGCGGGGATCCTCTGGGGTTGAAACAACAGACCAATCTTTCTACACCGGTACCTTGAAACACTACTTTCCGTACATTGCCCAAATGCCCACGATGCGCCAGTTTAATAAGACCACATCTGCCAATTTTGTAATACCATGAATGTTTATCATGGATGGCACTCAATTTGCAATTGCGACAGTTGTTCCATTTTCCTGACGTGGATTTGGTCACTACTGGCATAGACTTTTACTAACTATCCACTTAAACACAACCCAAACCTGACGCCATTGTAACGTAAATTTAATAAGTGATTTATTCAATGTTCATATAAAATTAATGGTTAATGTTAATAATAATAATATATTTACTGCATACTTGTAACAAAAAATTATACATTTGCAGAAGTCACACAATATTGTTGAAATCTAAATCTTCTAAATTTTCAAATTCTGCTACGCTATAAAAGGCACGTTTAATTAATACACATTTAAGAATTTTCCTAAGGCTTAGGATTGATAATTTTCTTATACTTACAGGTAATTTATTAAAAAGTATGACAGAAGTGTTTTAAAAACTCATATATGTTTTGTGTAGCCTACAGTATTTCACATACATTTCTGTGGACGAACGTGTGTTGTGGGAGTGTATGTCAGATCTTAAGGAATAATTGTCCAATTAAGATCTGGCATACAAGATGCAATTTAAAATATATATAGAAGGAACAGCTAGTGCTCTTAGATGGATAAACATGTCCCTGCAATCTTCTCTGTAATCCAAGTTGCCAACGATTCTGATTGCCTTCCGTTGTAGTGCAAAAATCCTATTTGAATGTGAGCAATTCCCCCATACAATGTTGCAGTACATTAACTGTGACTGTATTAATGCAAAATATGCGACCCTTAAGACACGAACAGAGACGTTGTCAGATAACCTTCGTAATGCAAAGGTATTGCGAGCTATTGTTGCAGCTAAATCATCTATATGTTTGTTGAAACTTAGTTTGGGATCAATCCAAACTCCAAGGAACTTAGCCTCAGCTGGATTTCTATCATAGTTGTGCGGTCTCAAGGACATAACCATTTCCGTTGTTTTAGTATGATTTAGACACAATTCGTTTTCGCACCAATTATCGGCTATCTGAAGTGCTGCGGTAGATGTGTTGATTAAGCGTTCCAAATCACCTGCATTCGTAAGAACAGTTGTATCGTCGGCGTATTGTAGACATTGTCCAATAGTAGTGGTCCAAGATCGTTAATAAACAGAATAAATAAAAGAGGTCCCAAAATAGAACCTTGTGGAACACCTCTTTTTATTGCTAGCAGATTAGATACCGTTCCATTAGCCTTAACGGCCTGCATGCGATCATATAAGTATGAAGCTATTAGGGCCACGCTATTGCCATCAAAATGAAACACTTTTTCAAGCTTTTTTAGTAAAATATTATGTGACACATTATCAAAAGCTCTCGTGAACACAAGAAATATCGCTAAAGTGTGGTGTCCCCGTTCGAAACACTCCAAGGTGTAATTCACAAAATTAATTAGCGCATCGTTGGTACTCTTATTTTTACGAAAGCCGAACTGGTTCTTGAACAAAAAGTTTGCAGCCTCCATGAACGTGATTATTAATGTTCACAGCAACTATCGCTATTAACTATGCACTAAATTTATAACGGTGTTTAAATAGGTGGACTTACTTTTATAACCTTTAAACTACATTTAGAACATTTTTCAATGCGTATTTTGTTTTATATCACTACGACATCGATGTTAGGAGTAAGACTAAACAACTCAATTTGCTTGTATAGCAAACAATAAACCTAGAGAAATCTAGAAATCATATCATATGTCATAGAAATGTTGTAATTTAGTCGAGAAAGAATGAGAGAAAGGTAGGAATATTTGTGCAAAATCTTTAAAAAATCGAAAAGAATGGATCCAAAAACCTAGGTCGTAATTGTGAATAGTTACATCGCTCTATGTATTATGATTTATGGCTGTAGAGTGTAGAGAAATAGATTGAGGCAGAAACTGTAATTTTGGGACTGTTTGGAGCAACGAACCCCTTGGAAAAAATGTAGTTGTTTTGGTCTTTTTTTTACTCAGTTTTTTTGCATATATCATAATTATTATATGCACACCTTGGGTTACACCCAGAATTTTCTGTACTTTCAAATACTTAAATATTTTATTTTTCAGGTGGCTTGATTATTCGCCCGTTGGTAGTGTAGTGCCAGGCACCCGTTTTATCCCATTTAAGACACCCTTAAAAGAGGTAAGAACTTATATTTATGTTCAATGCAGTGGCGAAAGCAATAGTAGGTACAAGGGTAATATACCAACCTTGGGTACAAGGATGTAAAAAAAGAGATGATATTCTATTTTCCGATTAGTTTTGGGCGCTAGCTGATGTTGTACCACACGACTACTTGTACTCTAATGCCTTGAAACCTCGCTTGAAACATCAAACATCTGCCTCTGAAATTACAGAGAACAACATTACATTACCCCATTACCCTAATATATACCTCTTTGACGTTTGAAATCGAAATATTTAACAAATTGGCTACCGATAGGTAAGTGTAATAGAATTAACTTCACAAACGGAAACGACGTACCTAACACAAAAAC